AATTTTGTTTTGTTTTTATTTTTAAAACAACAAGAAAGTGATCAAGCTGGCTTACCTAAAAAGTAAAAAAAAAACCGTTATAATGGTCAAGAGAAATAAATTATATATTGTTTTTAGAGTCTACCAATATGTTTACAAAAATACTGGAAGAATGTTTTTTTTTATAAAATATGTGATTTCATTGAATTTAAACTATGGAAAATGGATATAGTATAAAAGATAATTTAAAATCAATTCTTTAGTAAAATTAGAGATGACGATGAAATAGTTTTAATTTGCTTATAACATTTGTATACCATCCACCAGGTGTATGGTGGGTATTTCAACTCCGTTATTTCATACCCAACTCTACTACGCTTTTTTTGCTTTTTTAACGTGTTAGGTATCATTTCTGGAATTTTGTAGTCGTTTTAGTTTTTCCCTAGATATGACATATCGCTCATTTGCTGCAACACCGATATAAATAAAAAACTGGTTTGTAGAAGATGAGTTTTAAGTTTTCAATTGTCGCACAGGTAATAGAGGAACTTCTACAGCTTTCAATCAGAGTGCCTAAGCATGAAGTTACGATTTTTCATTTATGCCGGTCTTGCAGCCAATGAGCCGTATATCCTTATTCTACCGATTCCTCATGGAGGGACATTGTCTAGAATGCGGAAAAAAATAAATATATAGTCTATATAGGAAAATTAACCGAAGGTATTCTGCAATCTATCCAACATTTCATATCAATCGGACACACTTAGCGTATTTTGTGTACTTAAAACATGTCATTCTAAACTCAAACAGTATGCAGCATTTCGTGTACATCGAATAAACATAGGATCTATTGTGTGCCATTTTCATCAAATCGGATGAAAATATATGTGGGAGACTTATACTTTGTTGACAGACAGACTGAGAAGCATAAATCGTATCAAAGTGATTCTAGACACTCTATTCTCAAAAGTCTATCTCATTTTTTTGGCTGTTACAAATGGGGTAAGTGCATCAATAGTCGGCACTTTAAGGATTTTCGCATTTTAAACGTTTCACCATTTAGTTAAACAAAAATTATTTATTTAATTAATTTTTCTGATATTTTCATTAATAAATTATTAGCATCGGACGTTTCTATCAATGTTGTTTAAAAAAAATTATTTCAAATAATTTTATTTATTAAAATATTACAATTATAAAACAGGGAGCCGACTTCGGGAACCTTTTATCCAATTCTCGGTATAGGTATATATTGACAGGTACTTGAAATTAAAATATAGGGAACATACCAAAAGGTGAACCTATACCGACAATTCTACAAATAGATAGATGTACACAAAATTCAAATTTCAGCAATTTATAATGGAATATTTTCCTAAAACCCCCAAAAAGTGGTCCGATATTGGCGACGCATGATAGGTTGGAACATACCCAAAATACTGCAATTCAGAGGTTATAGGAAACCATCACCAACGTATCCAATTTTTACTTCGGGGGACTGAGTGGAAGCTGCTGATTAAATATGAAAATTATCATTGTAGAAAAAGAATGCATCGTACGTCCCTGGAGGCTATACCTAAAGCGGGAAAAAATATTGATTTCATCGTGCATCAAATTACCGAACATGTATAGTTATCAGGTTGTAAGGACTTATAGCTCAAGCTCAAATTTCTTTACGCTGAATATTAAAATACCGAAAATCGGTAGGTATCATTATATGGGGGATAGGCCTAAATGCGGAATATTGTTAATATATAGTTAATTCTCGAACCTTGCGTTCTATCTCGATATCCTCCCCAGGTGGAATGATTACAACAGAGCCTTAGAACCAAACCTAAAACGCGGAACAAATCAGATAACTATTTTAATATAAATAAAAAGATGAACTACCTCAAAAAGGGGGCGAATATTAATATTTTTGGGAGGGAGATTTGTTACCATATACGACTACAAAATACCAAATTACAGGGAATTTGGTTGAAAAACGCACTCGAAAATCCCAAAATAACGAAAATGGGGGTACTCTTATATGGGGGCTACCCGAAAGATTTGCCACCCAATAGGAACTCAAAGTAAAATTAAAATTAAATTACAGCCAATTGAAAACTACGCTAAAAATCCCCAAAATACTGTAAATTGGGAGTACCGTTATATACCAAAAATGGAAATTTGCCTACCCAATAATAACCCATTGTACCAAATTTCAGCGAATTCAATTGAAAACCGCCCTCAAGAACCCCAAAATAGAATTTTACGCCGATCAGGAATATATATATATATATATATATATAGGGTCTGAAATGATCATTTCGATGAATTACAAAATTCATATGGGAAATTACAAAATTCTTTTAAAATTCCATTAAAAAAAATTTGAAAAATTTTTTTGCGAGCACATTTATGATTTTTGGTACATAGGTTAAGAAAAATATGCTGATTCGAAATATGTTCGCGTTCACAAATTCGGATGCTGCGCACAAAAGTTATAGCGGTTTTAAATCTTGTATTTCAAATATAAATTAAATGAATTCCTATTCGTTGAAATTCGCGAATTTCTTAACAAATGCTTAAACACCATTGTCTTCTTTGCATACTAGTCAAATCACACTGAAATGCGGTTTAATAGACGCGAAAAACAAATAGAAACATGAAGATATCGGAAAATAAAGTAAATTAATTTTTGAATTAAAACAAATTTTTTTTTGAATTTTCGATTTTTTTGTATGGTTATGATGATACGGTTTTGCCTTAATCTTCTAAAATATACGACGCTTTCTTCTGCAAATTCTTTTAGATGATTGTTAAATATCGGCAGATTCATCTGATAAGAGTTTCGACGTCATTAATGGCTAAATATATTGCACTTACAATACATATAAATGATCAGTATTGAAAAGCTTGCAATTCGCGAATTAGTTGAAATCAGTTGATGCGCATGCGATTTTCGTATAAACCGAAACAATGTCTTTCAATATTTATTAATTTTTCGATGTTTAATTTAGCGGTCAAAGTGTGCCACTCGATGCACTTTACTATGCAAAAACCCTAAAAATGGCTAAAAATCCCGCAACATGCATACGATTTTTATGCGCATTCGATTTCAGTAATCTCCTATGAAAATACGCAAAAGGACACCTATTTTAAAAGGATCGGTTAAGAACCGCGGATGTGCCTCCACAATCAATTTTGGATAAAATATGCATATTATTCGCGTATCGATGTATTTTTGACCTATTTCCACACAGATTCGCGAATTTGACAATACAAGCATAAATGCATGTAAAATTAATTCGAAGAAAACCGCGATTATTTACGCGAATTTGTCAAAATAAGTTTTTGCAGTTTTTCCCACATTCAAGGTACCTATATCCGCCGTTTTATTAGACGGAATTCAACATGGATGGGCTCATTAGATCCGGCACGTAAAAAAACTAAAATCACGCGGGGTTCCACGGAATTTGAATGGACTTTCTTAATTTTAGACTCAAAAAATATGTTTTTTATAAAAATTTACGCACCAAATTTTCGTTTTTGGAACCCAATTGCAAAGAAGCTACAGTGAGCACATTCATGAGATATAGACTAAACGAAGCAGAATCACGAGTTCTACGATCCTATAATTAGTTTAGTCCATTATCTGGATGCGCATCCTAATTATAAGAAAAATTCAAAAAACACCGAAAATCCGGCTTCAAAATGTCAGCATCCATTTTGGGTGGATGCAGTGATTATATCGAAAAATCATACATTAGAACCATATTGTCCATGGGGTATTCTGCAACTTAGTCACTGATCACATGTGCGTGCATTGTGTAGTTTAGCCACAAATCGGGAACGAACACAAAAAAACTCGTTGGCTTCAACACATTTTTACCCATTTTTTTACATTACCAGCATCACAGCTTCCACGCAACTTATTATTTATTACCAAAATTTCAAGATTTTGACAAGAACACTTCATTTTATAGAATGGAATTTAAATTATATGCAATATGTTCATATTTCGCGAGTTATAACCTTGCAAACCTCAGCTTCAAGGAATTTAAAAGATTTTTGTAATTTCCCATATACCCTCCATACTATGGTGGAGGCTTTTAAAAAAAGCGTATCATGTAGTTGATGAAATCTAACGTTGTTCAATGAAATACACAATTGATGGAGTATTTAAATTATCAATAAGTTTTACGCTTTGGTTCTTTAAATATTCCATGCCAACAATTGAAAAAAAACCCTTTATTGGCCAAAACTAGCCTTCCACATTTTCTTAACACTTTTCAGACATTTATATTCAAATATTTATGGAATGGTATTTGAGTATTTAAATTTTGTATAACCCAAAAAACGAACAGTCCTAACGTGCAGTAAAAAAACAAAGAAATATGAAAATCTAAGAACATAACACATATCAGACTTGAATATGATAATCATAAAATAAAATGTGTTAACAGTTATGAATTTATTACAAACCAAACCAAAGAAAACACCTAGACAAACTGCCCGAAACCGAATTCTTGGTTCTACTTTCATTGAAGGCATTCATTGTAGTTGGTAACAGTTGTGTGTCGACAGGACGAGGAAAGGCAGGAGTTATTAAAAATTGGCATTATATAGTTTTACTATTCATAGCACGCTTGGGTATAGAACATTGGATGGACCAAATGTTTGGGGATGAACCATTTGAATAGATTGTTGCAAGTCTTTCTACGAAGGCCAACATTGGTACACAGACTCAACCGAAAGTGTATCTGTATGAGTGTGAAACTTATTCGGATGCCAAACAATTATGTGGCAATCTTCTCATTTTTTTCCTTTTTTGCTTCTCGAGAAAAGTCAAAAGTCTTTTTAAAAGTTTTACATTTCCCCAGAGATGTTTGTGTTCGGAATAATTGGTCAATTCATTTGTGTGCCTTTTGGTCAAAATCCTTATGAACTATTATGGCAAGTATGTCCTTGTTGTTGGTTAGGCTACTAATCTTCTTTAATTTGACTCAATAGAGTTTTCCCATAACAAGAGTATTTACAAAAAAAAAAAAAAAAAAAAAAAAAAAAAAAAAAAAATATTTTAAATATCATGTTATTTATATGAATATTAATACATTTGTAAATTTGTAATACAATCATACAGTGGTAAGAACGGAAAGAGCTATTTATATACAAAGGGTAATAAAAATATATATAAACATATATATATATACATATATATATGAATGTAAAAAATAATGGTAATTACATTACATAGAAATTCACAAATTAATATTTTTTTTGTGTCTATTGTAGGTTTTTTGGAATATATCATTTTTTTCTATCTCGACTCTTTGAATGTATTTTTCGTCCTTATTTCGTAAATCGCACAATCGAATCCAAATCAACTATTCTAAGATTTTAGTTAGGATACTCAAAGACAAGAAATCCATATTGCTATGCTTTCATCGTTTTTTCCACGTTTACCCGAACCGTGATCAGAAAACCTTATGTAAAAGTGCACTAATAAATTTCGTGTAAGATGAAGATCACAAAAAACTTTCGGATTCTTTTGAAATATTGTTTGCTTTCTCTGATTCATCATATTACTTCGTCATTGGTTTTGTTAAAAATGGACATGAAGTTAAAATAGGTTTTATTATTCGCTTTTATGTTGACCAAATTGGTTATTCAATTCGCTTCAAATTAAATTTACAACTTTATAAAATACTAGCGAAGAGCCCGCTACTTCGTAAGCGGAAATGGAATACAAAACAAATAAATAATATTTGAATTGAAATCGTGAAACCGTGTAGAATTTGTTGTGCTATAATTCCGAATTACACCTTTATTCATACATCTAATATCAAGTTTATTACCATTAGTGCTCTTCATACACATAAGCATTAATTTCCGAAATCTGTTTCTTAAATAAAATTTAAAACTTTTGTACCCATAAATGCGAATTTCCATGACTACTTAAATCGAAACCTCAACAGTAATATTTATTTCAAATCTTTTACATTTCAGCTCTATCCATTCACCAGACTGTACCGTATTCGTGTTCATAAGTACGAATTTCCAAAACTACATGAATACTATACTCCAATATTAATTATAATTCCAAATTTCAACATTCCATCTCTATTCGTTCAACCAAATCAAAATAATACCAATGTTTGTACCGTTTGTTACTTTTCGTACATACACGAATGCATTTCCAGAACTACTTTATATTTCAATAAGACACTCCAACAGTAATTTTAATTATAATTTGAGCTCAATCTAATCTAAATTATAGCAAGCTTAGTACCATTTTGTACACATTATTACGAATTCAAATCAAATACAACAGTAATTTTAATCCCAAATTTAAGAATTCCAGCCCTATCAGTTCACCCAAAAACAAATTGTACAATATTTGGTACCATTTAGTAATTGTTGTTCCCATAAGAACGAATTAATTAACTACCTCAATCCTACTCCTATTCTAACTACTTCAAATCTACGCTCCAACCAGTGAGCGGAGCAGTATAGTCGGACGGGGCCGACCATACGATACCCTACACAACTACCACGAACTCTAACTTTCTGAGGATGTTTATTCCGAGTTTGAGTAATATTTCGTGATATTGGCCCCCTCTTGTCCGATTAGAGGTCAACAACACCTCTTCCTTACTTTCTTCGAATATTCAGTACAGTCCTTCTAATTACTTGTCCAGATTACCTTCACGGTGGGTTGTGTTGTGATTTTCGGATTATACTCTACTCGAAAACACACAAAAAATTATGTTTTCGGTCAATTTTATCCCAAAATTTTAATCTGATTATCACCGAAAATTTTAGGCGTTGTTCTTGACCATAACTGGAACTTCAAGAAAAATTTCAAAGCCATCAGCGCTATATTTCTCCCTCTAATGTGGTAATGGGTTACTAAATAATATCTGAATACGTAAGCACTCCCACATCTGAGTAGATACATCACTATATTTGGTATCAATTTAAAGGCCAACCACTCCTCTTGGATATGCTATCAACTCTTGGGGTCTACATCCTCCAGGAGTAAATATATATGCCATAGAATACAAATTTTGTCATTTTTCACACAAAAGTCAGGGTCCATTTGACCCGCTAAACATTGACCGATCTTTATCAAAACATGCATGCTTATTCTCTGGCCCGATCCCCTTCTCCATGCAAAAATTCGCGGTGTTTGGGCCATAATTGCGGCCTCTGGAGCGATCAGAAAAACCGACAAAAATTTAGTATTTGGTATTTCATCCCCTAAATATTAACCGATCTTTTCCAAAAATAATAGGGGTCTTCATTTGAATTAAAACCCATCCTACATGCAAAATTTCGTGAAGATTGGTCCATAACTGTGGCCTGTATCGTGTTTACAAATTATAATGGACAGACGGACGGACGGACACACATTTTTTAGATCGACTCAGCTAGTCGAAAGATATGACGATCGGTATACTTAATGGTGGGTCTAGGACCAATATTTCGCGGCGTTACATACATTTGGGGCTGCACAAAGCTATAATCCCTGACAACATAGTTGTGTAGGGTATAACAATAACTATAATTTCCTATTTCAAGATTCTAACTCTCTGTTCACCTATAACCAACTTGTACCAAATTTAGTACTTTTCGTACCCACAAGTAACAAAATTTAAGAGCCAAGCTCCATCCGTTCACACAAAATCAAAACGTACCAAATTTAGTACCGTACCAAATATAAATTTTCCATCACTCAAATCTAACATACACATAATTACGAATTTTCCAAACTACCTCTATTTATCAATCCCACTCTCCAAAAGTAATTTAAATTTCAAATTCTTGAGACCAGCTCAATCCGTTCACACATAATCAAGTTTTTTAGTACCATTCAGTGTACATAGGTACTATACTTCCATATCTCCATTCTATACTACAACAGCAACCATTATTAAAAATTTTAGATTTCTAGCTCTCTCCGTTCACCCAATACCAAATTGTACCAAATCTAGTGCCATTCAGTACTTCGAGTACACATAATCATCAACAGTAATCTTAATAACAAATTTCAGGTTTTCAGCTCTAACCGTACTAAATCCAAATTTAGTATCAGTAAGTACACATTAATATATGCCTCTATAACTAGCTGATTTAACAATCATAAGTAATAATTTTCAAAACTTCCCACTTTCCCCAATCTTAATTGCCAAATTCAGGATTCCAACAAATTTCCAAAATACCTACATATCCCAATCCTTCATCCCAACAGGAATCCTAATTCTCAGTTTCAGATTTCTACCTCCATTGGTTCTCCGAAAATTTAAATTGTACCAAATTTAGTACACATGAGTACGAATTTCTCAAACTTCCAACAAACTTCAATTCATTTGTAATCCAAATCGTTTTAAATTTAGTACCATTTAGTACACATTAGTAGACATTTCCTAAACTTCGTAGAAATTTCCGAAAAAATCTTACACCCCAACATTGACCCTACCTCCAAATTTCAGGGTTCCAGCTCAATTGGTGCGCCCAAAATTCAAATTGTACAAAATTTAGTACCCATAAGTATGAATTTCCAAAACTACATCCATGCCCCAATCCTACACTCCAACAGTAATCATATTTTAAAATCTCAGTGTTCCAGTTCTATCAGTTCATCCAAATCCATTTTTTACCAATTATAGTACAATTTAGTACTTCTTGTACACATAAGTAAAAAATGTCCAAAACTATGCACATATCCCAATCCTACAACTCATTCGTTCCTCCAAATTCAAATTGTACCAAATTTTGTACTGTTTAGTACTTTTCGTATACATGAGTACACACTTCCAAAACTACATCCTTATATCGACCCTACTTCTCAACCTTAGCTCTATCCATTCACATGTCAAAACCCCAAAACCCCATTCAAATGTCTGACACCTTTGGTGAGTGATCCCCACCCCAAATTTCAAGATTCTAGCATTAACCATTTCGTTTGGGCATTGATGAATCGTTAAGTCGGTCTGTCACTCAATTTTCTATTTTTTTAGTATAGATTGACCCTTTGTGGGGGAAGTATCAGAAACAGAGGGCCGACGGCTCCTACCTTCGGACTTGATATAGGCTTGCTAAGTTTGGTTAAAATCGAACATTCCTTTCGTCTAAATTTATTTATGGAATGCATTGAAAAATTTACCCCTTTGTGAGGGAGGTATCAGAAGGAGTGGACCAATGGGCCCATCTTCGGTAGTAATCTAGGCTTGGTAAAGATAGGTTGTGCAAAGTTTGGTTTAAATCGGACATTTCATTCACCCGATATCGGATTTTTTAAATACTGAAATTTGTGGGGAAGGTACCAAAAGGTGTGGACCAATGGAACCCATCTTCGACTTAATTTAGTTTTGGTAATGATAATAGCTTATATAAAAATTTTGTTGTATTCCATGAAAGAATATATTTTGGGTTGTAGGGAAAAAGTCATGTTCTAGATTGAATCTTGATACGGTGGAATTTTAGTCGTAAATGCAATTTCACAATAAATCTATACTAATAAAAGAGTAAAGTGATTGACTGACTGATTTAACGATTCATCAACACACAGACGAAACGGCTCTTGGTTCAAAGATGACAGATAAGCCTGGGTTTTTGGAAATTCGTACTAGAACGGTACGAAAAATAAAAAAAAAAAAAAAAAAAAAACATACTACATGTGAAACTAAACGCGAACCGGTAGAGCTAGAACTCTTCAATTTTAAATGAGGTTCACTAATGGAGTTTAGAATAGATATAGCAAAGGGTTATTTGGAAAATTTGGTACAATTTCTTAGCATGTGAATGGATAGAGCTATAAACTTAAACTTTGGAATGCGAATTTGGGTTGAGATGTAGGGTCTATTTAAGGAGATGGTTTTGAAAGCGTGTACTCATGTGTACGAAAAGTACTAAATGGTACTATATTTGTTACAAATTTAATTCGGAGGTACAAATCGCGCTGGAATCCTGAAATTTGAAATTAACATTAACATCGGAGTTTAGGAGGTGTAGGTGTTGGTTTGGGGTATGTAGGAAGTTTTGGAAATTGGTACTATTGTGTACTAAATTTGGTACAATT